TACAAATTTTTAACTCGCTTCGCAGTATCGGGTATCACAGATGGCAGATATAACCATTCTGCTCGTTCACTATTTTCAATATTATTATTATTATTATTATTATTATTGTTATTATTTTAATTTTATTATTATAATTTTTAAACACATTTAATTTACTGCGTTGATTGTAATTTTTGATTCGACGCCAAGTTTAGAATTCTTTTGTTGATATTTTATATGAACTTTTTATTTTTTATTTAAACGTTTATTTACATAAACACACTTACATAATTAAATTATCGGAAAGATTTAGATAGGCTAGGACAACACCAAGATGTTAAGTCTAATTAACAATGAGGCTTGTTGAATATTTGTATTTTATTTTTATTTCCTGTTAATTTTATAATATATATATATATATATATATATATATATCTAGATATTCGTAATATACATATTACATTGTATTGTAAATCCTAAGTCAATTGAAGGTTTTCTCAATTTATCTAAACAATCGATAATATATAGTATTTTGCACTGTTTACGCGTCGATATTTGGCAAAGCATTGCATAAAATCTCGAATATTTGCTTCACTAATTCACTGATTATTATCGTCTCTTAATAGCTCTTGATAGGAGATAGACAAAATTCTATAAACTAAACACTCAAGTAAAGTGACGATCAACAATACAGTTACCGTCAATGGAGAATGCTAGAGAAACGTGATAACTAAATTTTTTATAGCAAAAATTAGATGACTTCGACTTGGCCAGTATGTTCTTCTTTCATTAGATAGACACATTCGTGTGTTCACTATTAGGTCAGATTTCTAATTTCGGGTCAGATCATTTATTTGCCAGAAAATTTAAAGGGTCTCTGATTGAAAGTGACACTCTGAAAAATTAGAAATAAGAGAAACAATTCGACATATCAAGGTATATGAGCCATTATTTTTCGAATATATTAACGTTCGAATATCCATCACGACTTGTATATGTATCTATGTGCTTCCTGTCTGTCTATAGAAGCGCAAAAGTGTCGCTTTGGGGGAATTAGAGGCGTATGAGACCAATGTATTTGTCTTGTTGAAAGGAATTCTATATTTTTGACTCACTGATACTTCCCCGACTGTTACAACCTGTTAGCCTTTAACGTAGATGGGTATGAACGTGACCTAACCCAACATACCAGACGAACTTCCCTTGCGACCTTGGGTCTTTCTATATCCGGCCTGCCTATTGGTCTTTCTCGGCTCTTGATATCTATAGGAGACTCTGGAGTTGGGCCCGAAGACCCCTTTCACTCGACTTTCCTCTTTTATTATAAAAAATAGTAACAATCTATAATATAAAATACTATAAGTAAAAATATCAAAAATAAATGCAAAGATCCTTCGCGCATGTAGGACACGTCAATACAAATATATACTCCGAAAGCGCTACAAGCACAAAAATAAAGATGAATTAGTATAGGTAATTGGCATATGCGCATCAAGTTCGATAATATATCTCAATAATCTTTGGTAACTTAACAACAAGAAAACAGCGCCCGTTTATTGGCCCATTCTCACCTTGACAGCGCCGGCTGCATCGCAAACCCATTAGTCGGCTCGGTCTATGTTGTCTACTCTCCTTTGCAACCATTTCCCATACTTTGTGTTTCAATCCAGTCCATCATCCAATTGTGACTTCACACATATTTGCTAAGAAAAATTTCTTTTTCCTCCCTTTTATTAAAATATTGCAAGATACAGTCCGTATATCACTGGACCATGGATATTTTGTTCAAGAGAAATACACTTCAAGGTTTTTTTTGTTTACATTTATATTCCTTAACAGTAGGATCATTTATTTACAATTATGTTCCTTAAATATAGGATTATTCAACGTTTATTTTGGCCGTACTCTCAACTTCTATGTTCTTGCCCGACTAACTCTCCCTTCCACAAATATTCTATTTATATACATTTTTACAAGCATTTTACCATATCTAAATTTATAGTTTTATTTCTAATCCCAGCCTGCTTTTCCTTTCATCGGCCTGCAGCTGCATTATGCGCGTGCGAATGCGCATTTGGTTTTTCCTTCGTTAGGGAAAACTAATTGGCTGAAATTAATTGGAAATTGGAATTTTCGTAACAATAATATGTTATTTCTTTTTTTCCCCTATTTTCCCTCCTCTCTATCTTTTGATTCACTCTAAAAGAAATTTCTTTTTCTAATTCCTTTATTTTTCGGTTCCGATAGGTAAATTCACACACCATCTCGTAGAAAATCTTGAACAGAGTCATTTAACTAACATGCAACTGCAAACAATGGCTGAAGCGTAATTAAGAAAAAAAACTCACAACAGGTAGAAGCAGTCTGTACTGTTTTTCTATTAGCAAATGATACTTTTTTATAATGACATTAAGTGCAACTTTCAGATTATATTTACTTTTCAGTGTAGGCCAAATTTCAAGCTTCTTTTTGTCCGAAGATACCGAGCGATACGAATGAAAAACAAAAATAAAAATTTTACATCGAGTTGTCGATGACGAAGCAATAAATGGCGTTTTGTTGTTAATCGATTGCTCATCTTGTTTGTTTATTTATGTCACAAATCGATTGCTACTTGCTCTTCTCGTTCGATAATTATTCTGCATTCTTAATCTTCTTATTATCCACGCAAACACACACACACCATCGTATGCCACTTGCCGCCAATAGCGAATGACTGGCTGCTTCTTCAGACAATACGTTTTTATCGCATTCTCAAAGCCTATAATCAAGACCTTCTATTGACCTTAGACACATTCAGCATTTTTTTTTTTTTTTTTTTTCAAGATTAGTTAGTAGTATTCACTCTAAGTTGTTTTATTTGCATATTGTTTGAATTCTTCAGTTTAGTTATCATTTTTCAAAAATATTTTTATTTTGTTAGATGTCCTTTGCGCTTAACGTAAAGTTCAATTATATAAATGCATATTCATAGACTTTACATCACTAACTTAACAGTCACTGCATTTGCGGCTTTTCTTTGCTTTTATTATTTTTCTTTCCTTTGTATTTTTAAAATTAATTACTTTCTTTTCCTCACAGATATCACAACCAAGAAAACTTTCATTTTTGCTTCCTTTCAGTCCAAGTTTTTTATTTCTTTTCCTTAACGCAAACCTTTTGTTCCTTTATCTATCACAAAGTCCAACAACTTCTTTCAGTTTTAATTGCCGTCTTTGCTCTCTCGTACCGAATCTCTAGGCCAAGCCATAACCGACAAAAATAACGTCAAAATATCTTCCGCTGTTAAACTTTTTCTCTTGCGAGGATTTAACTATCCTGTCAATGCATGGTTGCATTCTTTTTAAATAAAAAAAAAAAAATAAAAAAAAAATGAAACAAAATTGCTAAGCATAACCATCAATAAGTTACAAGCATTAGCTGGGTTATGTACTCGACAGCTTGACGAACATTGTTAGCATATATGCCTAACTTTTGATGCAAGGTCACACAACCGTAGCGGCCTGAATGGAGAGAAAGAGTGATGGCGATCCCCATGCGATATTAAATGATCTCTAAACGTTCAAAATTCATGAATCGCTTTATAAGGTAATTGCCAAGTCTACCATTTATTTTCACATCTGGAGGCACACGAAAAATGTATTTGCAACTGGAAATTACAAGCTGAACAAGAATGGTTTTTAATCAAAGATTATGCATAATTGAGCGAAAAGTTCGGCGTATGTGAGCAAATGTCTTCCAAAGACTTAAAAAAGTACTCAATTAAATTATAATGCCTTTCTAGTACTTTCTAGCCTTTCTATACGTAGTAATCTTATGCCCGCACACATTTTCTTTATTTGAAGTTCGCAATCGAAGCAACTTTCTTTACTATTGCGTATAATTTTAGTACAAGCACATAAGTATAATACAAAGGGAGGAGATACACATGCTCTCATGCTGATAAAATATGATTTTCGTAATAAATTAGCAATAATTGTATTTAGGCCGAAAAATTAAAATTTTGCTTAGTTCAAATTTGCTACGAATGTTGAATTATTATTATAAACTAATTTCCATCACGGGCTACAAAAAAAAATTAGACCACAAGAACAGGATTACATGAAAGAATGTTGAAAAGATTCGCCCATTCGATTCAAATTTTTCACATCATGTCAGTCGGCTCGACTACTAATATTTATAAGCTTTTCACAAGAAATTTGAAAAATTGAAATTTTTTTCACATAATCACTTTTTCAAAAGAAGATGTTATACGAGAGGTATTCCTTAAAGTGTTCCAATCTAATCTATGTTCAATAACGCAAACAGACAAACTTGACTTTATTCAGACAATGATTCTGAATCGAACTGCATAAGAAAATGTAGTTATCTCTCTGAAATTCTTCTAGATATTAAATACACACGCGCTTACACTTAATATATCCTATATCGCAAGTGATGTAAAGTATAAAAATTTATAATAAAATATCATGTCTGGCCTGATAGGAGAATAGCATTGAAAAAGAAAATGAAAGCAATTGATATCCGCTCGCAACGACTGCTTTACTGCCGACTGTTTTCCTATTTTCGTTTAGAAGCTTATTATATATATCCATGCACGCATATATATTAGCTGAACATAGGCTTTATACGCTGACTATTTTCTTATCGTTTGATCACTTGAAATTTGATATACAAAAAATCTTTTGTTTTGCTTTGCATTAATATATTTACATAGAATTATGTAAATTTCTAGTTTTTGTGAAATCTGAGTAGAAAATGAAGTTGGGAAATATTCACTTGGCGAGCATAGCTATCATCTAACCTATGCTTAGGCATATATATATATATATGTATATAAATAGATAAACCTTTGAATTTCTGAAATTTGCCGGACTCTGAACTTGCTTTGAGTGATGTGAGCAGATTTAAAAAAGAAAAAAAAAAAAAAGATTGCAACACAGATACTGGATAAGGGTACATTTACAATTTAAAAGGATAACTGAGTGGATTTCGATTATTTAAAAAACTTCAACTTTTCATATTTTCTATCGTAATTCTTTTATTTGTTAACATTGATAGGCAAGTAACAACCGAAACTTTAGTGTCTAAAAATTGACAGAATAGAAAAACAAAAAGCTTTAGCTGATAAGATTCTCTCGAACGAAAGATTATTCCTTACGCTTGATAGTTGAAGTTAGGCGTTTGATAATTTTAAGTTACAGTTCACCAAATATATCTTTTTCCGTTAGACCATGTTTTGCTAAAACTGAAGCAGTCCATGTATCAATTTTAGCCTGCAGCTCGGGTGTCAACTCGTCTCGATAAGAGCCTACGATGCCGCGGCGCATAAATCTATTTAATAAATTATTGTATGAATATTTTGCATCATGTCTCTTCAAAATAATTGCACCTACTGAAAATTTTCAGGAACATCGGGAAACGTTTCTTTCATCATTTCCGTTAAGTTTGCTTGTCTATTATCTGAAAGTTATATATTAATTGAAAGCATATTTTGTTGCTTCAATATGCAATTAGTCTGAAAAGATACCTTTCATTTTGCCAAATGATAAATGCGCTACTAAACGATTTAGTTCTTCGTCTGTTAGCGTAGGTCTATTCAAGAATTGACACAATCTCCGTATAACGCCAGGCAAATCTTTTATCATTTCCTCATAAGTCACGAAAAATATAAATGATTCGTTACGCATTTTCCAAAAATCGACAATATGAGTCCAAAATGGTGTCCAATGAATCTCGTCATTAATAAAATTATTGACATAATCGGCTATAGAATCACCTTTCCACATGCCGTGTTGCACAAAGTGAAATGACGAAACAATCACATCTTTAATATTGCGAGCTACATAAATAGTCTGTGAAAATTCAATTAATGCTGAAAAGTGTTTAAATAACTGACAGCTTATCATGAAGCTTCTTAAACAAATAATAAGCCATGAAAAAAAACACATTTGACGATCAAAACCATTCTTGCAGCAAAAGCTTAAGTAACTTGATTAAAGATCTGTATCAAATTTTAAATCAAAAAATCAATTAATCACTAAATTATTGAAAATGCGATAATATTTATAAACTTTCATTTCTCTTAATTTGAGAGAATATAAATATCGCATGCGAGAATTGAATGTAGAATCTTACATTCGTGCCGAGAGTAAGTCTTTGATCGTTATTTTTGCATATGATCGTGCATCTGCGATCCCCTCTAATTGCCAGCAATGAAATTGTATTAGCAATTGTTTGCTTTCATCTTGCTATAATAATTCCTCAGCTAAAATTTTAACACTGATTAACGATCAAGTTTTATTGTCGAACTGATTTTACACATGTATCATGCTCTGCGTGAGATTGCTAACGCATTGTACATAAGAAAGCTGGCCATCTTGACAACAGATTAAATTTAGTGAATCGTAAATCACTTTTCCTCCGAGCTTAACATAGACATGTCATTTTTAATGGCTAACTCAGGGGACAGTTCTACATTGCAACACTAATAAATCATTTCGTTTAGTGTATGTATGTAGCGTGTCTGAAATGACAGTATTTGTCCACAAATATGTTTGGGAATATGTTTGTGCTAGCGTTTGTATGACCAACAACAACTTGAAAGATGTCTCCAATAGGTGCGCCACAGTGACGGTCAAGAAGAAGTGGATGGAGACAAATGGAGAGCGATGGTAGTTTCAGAGATATATGTCCGATCGGTAAGTGTTATCGTTTTACCCACCGAGCTCTCACTAATTGCAAATGAAGTATAGCAGTTGAAACTGGCTACGCCAACTTAACAATTACGCTTCTAAGTGAAGTTCACATAATCGACTATTTGGAATAAGGAAAGATTAGTACAAAAACGTATCACGCATTATTACTTAATAAGCTTAAGATTGAAAATGAAATCGTCCGCAGAAAAAAAATTGTATCTCACACGTCAGTTAGAACAACTTGACTATTGTGCTTAGTCATCATATCTTGGCCTACGCGACTTATTTTTGTTTCTTAAGCGAAGCGTTGTGCTCGGGGGGATTGAGTTTTTCTTCAAATCATTAGATCCAGTTTGTACTGTATTTCCAGGTGAATATCCATTTACAATAGCATTCTGCCACGAAGAACTTTTAAAATTTTTTCAAATTTGAAGTCGAAATCTTTATTTTATTGGCCCAAAAAAATGTTCACCATAGATATTACGCAGACGCGCGGACGAACTATCGACTTGCAGAACGCGCTGAGATCGATTTAAAATTCGATACTGATCGAGAATATATGTGTATATGCACTTTGCAGTGTATCTGAGTGCTGTTAAACATTCTGACAAAATGAATATACGTTCTTCGGTCGGCGTTGTTGGCCATAAAATAATATAATATATCATTCGTTCAGTATGACGGTTGACAGTAAAAGTCAGTTTCCAAGAAATCTAGGCATTTGTCTATGTATTTTCAATTATTGTACTAAGAGTCACCTTCTGTTTTTTCTGCCAAATTTGTGAGGGCAACAAATTCGCGGGCATATGGGATTTTATAAGACGAGGATCGGGTAATTGCTCAGTTAATTTCAATGGATCGAGTTCCAATCCTGAGCCCGGCGGTAATAAACCAATAAAACTATAATACAAAAAAAAAAATAAAATAAAAAAAATATTGATAAAAATGAAAAATTAAAATTCTGCAATCTATGTGGAACTCACTCTAAGAATGGACTGCGTTCCAATATTCGTTTCTCTTTCGATTTTTCAAAATTCAAGTCATTCAATAATAACCAAGCAGCTTCTTGCATCCAAGTTGTACCACATTTCATAAATGTTACTACAAATACATCTCGAGGTCTGACCTCAAAATGTAATATTTTATCTAAGCAATGATCAAAAGTTTCCGGCAATGCGCACCAACTGTCGGACCAATTCTTTTTTAAAGGTATATTAATGCAGGCCGCCGAATACTGTTTCATAGGTACATTGTAATGACTATCGAAAGATTCGATATTCATTTTACGTGAATTGAACATATTTTCAAAAATTCGTTATCTTCCTTTTTTCGTGAATTTTGTTGTTCTTCTTTTGTTCTTGCACAAAAAAAGGGTTCTCTCGCGACTAAGACTAAAACTTAACTAAACTGCACTAATGCGGCAGATGTGAATATTATTTGCAATTATATTGATAAGGTATAGTAACGTAATTAATGGTTATTTTTATAAATACACTAAAAGAAAAATCTTTACATCGAACGAATGAAACGAATGAAAAATTGATATTGCGCTTTTAATCAAAATCAGGCGAGAGAATAAAAGCGAAATTCGTATTTCATTTCGAATGTTTATTCGCTATGAGCCAAGCATATCTAATACGAGATTTAAAGGTTTAAAATATATTTCATGTCTTCATTTAATTTATACGTGAAGGACGAAAAAATAGTATAATATGATGATGAACCGATAAATAGGATTTCACCTTATAAATGTAATGGTCTACTTGCGTAGACTTAGCCTGCTATAGGTAACGAATTCAACACTTGACATTATCTAAAGCACTTATTTAATGAGAAAAAGCTATTTTTATTTATAATACTTTTATCTTTATAGTTTTATGAGTATTATTATTATTTCGCGTTTATCTATTTTTAAATTTAGATAAAAATATCATTGGGAAAATTTTGGTTTTATATTTCAATGCTTTAATAAAACGACGTTATCCCATATGGATCATTATAAAGGTCACAGAGAAAGTTGTAAAATTTAAATTTGTTATGTGCGAAGTTTGAATTTTGCGGTACTGCTCAGCATTTTCATAACCATCTCATCAAAGTCATAAAACAACATAAAACACTACTGTTAAAGTTTGCAGAAAGTCATATACAAAAAAATCGAATTCAATTAACCGACATGTTTGAGCATCGTTAACGATCGTTAGTCATAGCAGCATACGACTATGCTTTCTTGTCATGGGATTTATGACTTTATATGGAATTTAATTTTCGGGATCCGGATGTCGGATATTACATCAGTGGACCCCCGGCCGGTTTTTAATAATGATCAAGAGTATATATGGGCGCTTTATACCTAGCACCTCATGTTTTCTCGGGTATGACAAGATTGAATAATGCTTATAACTGCTTTTTGGCTTTTCGCGCCTCTGTGATATTTCTCACAATACACGGCTGTAAATATTTGCTCACATTCGCAAACACATTATGCGGACTGTTAATAAAATCCAGATAGCAACAAAGCGATCTACCAGGTATCAAAACTACACATTTTAAAAACAGAAAATTTTCAGCTTATCTTGGGATGAAAAACATTTTCTTAACACCAGTTCTCACACATTAAAGAAGGAAGTGGGCTTTAGAAATATATGAAAGCGAGATCGGTATTTGATGAATTGTGCTCAAGAATTATTTGGAAATGAAGAAATTATTAGAAATTTGTTAAGCTTTTGAATCAATCATCGATCAATCAACTTGTGAGCCAACCACAGTTCTATTAAAGAAGCCAAGTAAGTAAGTAACTATGTTTGGCTTTGGTTATATATTCGATGTCCATCTTTTTCATAATAAAAAAACTTTAAAAGAAATGAAATTTCGATGCTTCATTATATTGGGTAGTGCGGCCGATTTATTCCATTCTTGTACAGCTACTGTAAAATCATTTATACATGGAAACTTTTATCTTTGTATTTGTAATGAGAAAAAAAAAAGGAAAAAACTCAATCTTTTCGCTTTTGAGAACCAAAGTGTTCTCAATTTGCACTATACTATAGGCGTGTCCGCTATAGTCCGCAGAATCTACATCTCCATCAATGCTGCGCATTTATTGCACATAGAACCTTCTAAACTCATCAATATATATAAGTGAACAAAATTCATTCCAATTCGCGTAAAGTATATTTAATTTATCTATCCCACTCCAATCACCTGCTTACAATTTATTAAAGCGTTCCATTATATTATATTGGATCGCATTAGATTACATATTTTTATGCTATGCTTCCCTTCATTCCCACTTCTTCTTATGTCACGAGAAATAAAATTAATTCCTTACTTTTACAGCGTAGAGAGAATAAAGTGAATTTAGATGTAAAGGTAGAGTTCATCTTAGCCATTAGATATAATCGACTTTGACATTACAATCTGATCCTTTGCATGTTTATGGATTGCCACTGCTATCATATGATAGCAACTTCAACTTCTTATAGTTGCTAGAGAGAATTGATATTGAAATTGCGATACAGAATACCGATGATAATAAATTCTGCCTAGAATGCTATTAAATATCACCATGAATAGAATAAGTCCATCCATTCAATTTTTTTATGAATTTAAACACCATATTTGTCTTTATTAATAGTTACGTATCTGTGGTTTTATAGCATTGTTTATTGAGAGAAACATTGCAACCTATATATATGGATATATCGTTCTTGCTTACTCTCATTTGATTATTTACTCAAGTGCACAGATGGTACGCTCATACCACATATCTTTTTTAAATATTACGCGAATAAAATTTCTTCTGCAAATAAAAATGATTCAACATGATTAAGCGCTTTTTTTATATACTTTATATTTTTTTTTTTTTTTACTTTTTTTTTTGCTTGTTTAGATATGGATTAGGCCCGTATGATTCAGTTTAGACCCATAATCCAGTAATGTAAAAGAGAAACCATTGATGATATTTTTATGGTTTTCCGAAACGTAAAGTAAGCGCTATTTTTTTTTCTTTTTTTTTTTTTTAGGTGATGCTTATGCTTGTTAAACAAGTGATGTTCGGCTCCGCGGTTGTTCCCGTAAGCCTCCGTAAGGTACTGTGCACTCGAAATTCCGGCTAAGAATGCCGGAAAAGAAAAAAATATAGGCGATCTGTGTTTATGAGCAAAACTTATGAGTATAGAAAGTATTAGAAAGAGAAAACAGCTGATTTGATAAAGGCCCTCAGCTGCTTAAGAATAATCGAGAAAGAAATTTTGGAGAAAATAGGCGTCAAATATATAAAATTTTCTGGAATTTTTTCAATTCTTCCGAATTTCGTTTTGGGTTAATTGATTCTTATGAGTTTTTAAATCACAAATCGGAAAAAATGATTTTCTTATGCATGATGTGTCCACAATTAAACAATCAACAAGACGTATCGTCGCGTAACCGATATAATTAAAGTTTTCAACAAGACCGCAGCGCTAAGTCGAATAATGCCTAGTACTAATTTGAATCTTCTCACAGGACGTTCAATTATCTACACATTAGGATAGTAGAGAGAATGTAGAGAGTTGCCATGACCTGATAGAATTCTATACAAAAAATCCGATCAAAGCTGAATGTAATTTTCTTACTTGTTATTTTAAGTTTATTTTCTATTGAAATTTTATGATTACAATGCTTTTCCGGTTGAAAAAGATTTTTCCCTCAAATCAGGAGGAAAAGTACAAGTAAAAGGGCTGTTGAAGGAAATCAAATATCCATAGTACGAAGCCTGTTGGGATTTAGCGTTAATCATACCATATAAAAATTCATCCTCACCTCCGAGATCTGTGAAGGCACCAGATGAGATAATAAACAAGATATCAGGAAACGCGACTGCAGCAATTCTCTAGCTTTTTGTACGGGATTAAACAATACATTTTGATCTATGCATTAAAATCTCGGAAATAAGTGAATGAGTCCCTTATACATACTCTACACAAATTATGTTAATTTATTATGCTTTATGTAACACTCAAATATGAGTTGAAGGGATTTATAAATCCTTGGGTACACATTTAACACATTACTCAATAAATCTCCGGTCTGACACATAAGTGGCAACATTGTTGACACACCCATACGATTTCTAGATAGTAGCCGCCTTCAAATAATACACGTCAAAATTTCATGATATTCTAATATTCATGATAGTTTACAGGTTACAGTGGTTTTAGTGACGTCAGTTTTTGTTGTAGTTTGCAAAACAATGGATAAAAGAGCATTCCGTTGATTGATTAATCATTGTTTTCTAATGGGAAAAATACGGATGAGGTCAAGCAGTGGCTTGATAACCATTACGGCGACTTTGCACCAGAGAAGTCAACTATCATTGCTTGGAATGCTGCATTTAAGTGCGGTCGTACAAATACCAATGATGCTGAACGCTCTTGCCGCACAAAATTGGCAATTGCTTCAAATAATATAAAACAGTTTTGAACGACCAAAAACGGGAGTAGCTGACATCTTAAAGATACGAAGGAAATTCACTAGAATTTACTATTTTGAATGAACAGTTTCCCATGAAAAAGTTTTGTTCGAAGTAAGTGCCGCGTTTGCCGGACCATAAGCTGCAACGCGTCAACGATTCAAAGCATCATGTTTGGAGACCAAGTCCAAGCGAAATAAAAAGAATTTATTATATCGGTATGAGCGAATGGATGAAACATGGATCCATTACTACATACGTAAATCGAAATAATCGTAAGCTGACTGTAGCTAGCAAACTGACAGTATCTGACACGCGTGGTGTGTGGTTCATTGATTAATATTGAAAAACCGCACAGAAACAATAGCGAGTGTAACAAGGCATTATTAGATCGATTGAGTGTGCAAATCAAAAAAAAAAAAAACGGTCTCACATACAAAAGAGAAAGATGCTATGTCTACAAGAGAACGCTCCGTGTCACGGGTCAATGCAGACTATTGGCTTTTGCAACAAATTCTTCTTGAATTCGCTCAAATATCGAAATGATTGCCGAAACTGAGTCCTATCTTGACAACAAAAACAAATCGATTTACAGAAAAGATATCGGGAAGTTAGTGGAGCATTGAAATAAGCGTATCATTCTTGAAGGGGAGAATGTTGATGAATAAAGTCACACGTTGTGTGCTGCCCAAACTAAATCAGTGAAGCAAAGTTTGTTTGCTGAAAATTTTTTTCTGAACAGGTAACATTGCGCAGACGGATAATATAATTATATCCACACATCGGAGTTAAGTTTTTTAAAAATTCTTAAGTAACACTCAAACTTAACGTTTGTTTTTAACAATTGTCGTCCTCTCAGATCTCCTTCACTGCAACTGAAATACGTTTACTTGCAACTGGGTTTTCCGTCAGTTTTTGCATCTTTCAGATTTCCAACAATCAAGTAACGGGGACTG